GAAAGAGAGAGAAAGAAAGAAAGAAAGAGAAAGAAAGAAAGAAAGGAAAGAATGGAAAGAAAGAAAGAAAGAAAGAGAAAGAAAGAAAGAAAGGAAAGAATGGAAAGAAAGAAAGAAAGAAAGACAGGATCTAGAAATGACAGGCAACGCATTATGGGTGAGGTTTATGTAAGAAAACCAAAGCAGAACTGTAGTCAACCACATTCAAAGAAAATATCTTGGCCCTGTGTCGAAAGACTGGTGAGTAAGTGTACATTTGTACATTTTAATTTAAAATAAAATGAAAACTGTTGCTTTATTCAACCACCAGTCCTACTCTCTTTGGTGAGGAGGCTTTTACAGTTTGTATATTACTCTCTTTCTGAGGGTTTAGAGCTCTTCTTCATGTCACTGAAATGCCAGTGCTGGGAATTATATTTAACTGAGCATGAGTAAAATGTAGTATCAAATAGAAAATACTCTAACAAGGCCCAATCTTTCTAACATCAGTCAATTAATTAAAGGAACTAAATAAATAAGAAGTCAGTACATGAAATTTAAAATTACCTTACCTTATCCATTAAGTATGTAGCAGCAGAAAACCTTTTAACTAAGAACGTATTCCACATCATCAGCGCAATGCCTAGGCAGCAAGTGAAGTAGTAAATAGACTGTTTATATATTCTCGCTTTCATCACACAAAACAAATTATTGTCTTCCTTAAGCTTACCAAACTATGTGAGCTATTTATTTAGATATCATTTCTTAATATTTATCTTTAATAAAAGTCAGAACTGGGCTGCATAAAGAATATTTCCAAATGGCCAAGAAGCATGAGAAAAGATTTACATCATTAGTTATCAGAGAAATCACAATGAGATAGCATCATACAACCACTAGAAAGGCTAAAAAAATTTTAAATGACAATAACAAGCGCTGGTGAGTATGTGGAACAAATGAAACACTCATATAGTGCTGGTGAGATAAGTGGTAAAACCACTTAGAAAACTGGCCATATTTACTATAAAGTTAAATATGTATCTACCCTATCGCCCAGCAATTCTACTGTTCAGGATACACCCAAGAAATGAATATAAGAGATATAGATAAGATTGTTGAGAATAGCTTTTTCATTACAGCCAACACTAGAAACAATCCCAATGCCCACCAATAGATTTTTTCATATGTAACCACCAACTAAAGTGACATATAAAAAACTATTTAAAAAACCACAAAAAATATTTTAAAAAAAATTTTAAAAACATAACCAAACAAAAAATATGGGCTTTATACTTCCATATTCATTAAGCTGTGGCATTAAAATTAAATTTCTGAAACAGCTGTCAATCAGGCAGTGTAAACATGACATTTCACATGCTGTTATTACTACCCATGCAGCTGATTCTGTACCTAGGAGCAAAGGTCCTTTATAGGCTGTGAAGAAGCCAGGAAGCTTACTCGATGTACAAATGGGGTAAAGGCCTAACTTGAAGAAATACTAGCCTAAAGTCAGTAAGTAACTTAATTTTATTAAAAAGGATAGACTAGAGACCATATTTTACAAACAAGTCATTGTAAATTCTTCTTTTCTTGAAAGAAGGTAAGATCTACGAGATGAATTAATAATTAATTTTCAAGTTCTCTTCATGTAAAATGGAACATTTTATAACTTCTGAAACTTGACTTCATGCCACCTGCCAGAAGGTGACACAGGTAAAGTAGAGATAAGCAACTTCTCTAGAATTTATCACAGAAATAAGGTGACACCTCTTCTCACCCAGACTAACACCTAGTCTTACCACTTATAAAAGTTACTAACTAGTCTAGAACTGATCTCATCACTTAATTCTTATAACGAAACCCATCTATCTATTAAATGGAATCAGCAACGTGTTTACAAGTTCTCTACTATAACGTAACATTTTCTCAAGGAGCTATCAGCAGCCCCTGTAGAATAGTGGAGAATATTCACTTTGATTAAGAGAAGCACAAAGTAGTTTCTCTTTTGGCTACCTAGCTTTTTTATCAAGAATTACAGTCCTGAGAAACCCATCCTCTTTTCTTCTCTACCTGTGAACTAAAGAGGGAATCAATGATTCATGCATAATAGCTCCCTTACTTACACCTAGCAATTGGAGTCAGCTTGGGGGACAGAAGGTGACAATAACTACCAGCCTCCTCGCCCACTCCTGGATAGCATTTTTCCAAGTAGTTAAAATAGCCAGTACTTTGCATATAGCAATACACAGCAATATATTAGGTGGTAGGACAAGCAAACAAACATTTAAATTTTTATTTAAATCAGGATGTCTGTCTCTTTTGAATCAATCAGTAATGTTTTTAATATGCTTACTTACCATTCTGAACATGTGCATTAAGAATGTGTTTCAAATGTTCTATTGATCTAACAAAAAAACGTGCTTCCTTACATACAAAGAGAAAAAAGAGAGAGAAAAAAAAGGTGTATCATTTAACAGGTGTTTCCAATACCAATGGAGATTTCTTATATAAATTTCTGCATAAAGCTATCTAAGAATGTTGCAGTAAGAGCACAGGAGTATTAGATAAGAAGTAACTTTTGATAACTTCAATCATCCCTCTTAAATTCACATTACCTATTAAATGATTAATTCCTACAAACTCCCAGGTTATTTATGCAGACATCTGGACTCAAATTTACTGTGGTCTGTACATCACAGAAATGTTCTCTCCCATAAATACTTGAATTTCACACAGATGCAAAAACAGTGAGTTTACATTTGCAAATATAATTCATTCATTCATTCATTCAACAAATATTAATTGAGGGCTGGCCAGTTGGCTCAGCTGGTTAAAGCGTGGTGTTATAACACCAAGGTCAAGGATTCAGATCCTTATGCTGGCCAGCTGTCAAAACAAACAAATATTTATTAAGCTTCTACTATGCACCAAGCCTTGTCTGAGGCACCAGGGATACTATTATGAACAAAACAGACCCGAGGCCTTGCTTCACTGACGTCTACTGAAGGAGCTGGACAACAAATATGGTAAGTACATCACACAGCATGTTAGTGGTAAGTGCCAAGGAGAACAATGTAAAGTAGAGAAGGTAATATAAAATGGCATAGGAGATGTTTAAAATTCAACCTTTCTAATCAAGGAAGTTTACATACTAAAACCCAAATACAGTATGTAATGCTGATAAAATTATCCAGATCTTTGCAAAATAATTTTGTAGACTGTACACAGATTAAAGACATCACTACAGCCAACACGTACTGATGTTGGAAATGCTTCAAAGGTGATTTCAATTGTTTTGAGCCTAAGAAAGTCATGTGTGTGAAATTATGGAGATGGGATACAGGATGGATACGGCAAGGAGATAACAGGAAAAACAAGAAAAACAGCCACTTATTTTAAATATAAGCAATTCTAATAATGGACAATAACACTAATCAAAATGTCAGGTACTATGCATGCCTTTTCTCTACAAACTGCTGTACACAGCCTTTCGAGATGTCTACTATTATAGGCCCCATTTTAGGAGAAACTTGGTATGAGGAGTTCAGAAACGTGCACCAAGGTCATACTAGTTGTTGCTGTGATTACTATTAGCTGTAAAGCAGTTTTCTTCTTAAATGCCACTCTCTTTGACCTGAATCTGGAATTATTTAGATTTTGAAACCATTGTGCCTCATTCTAATCCTAACATTCCTTTTTTCATGGAATGAAAAAACCCAATTCGAGTAGACAGCCTAAATATGATTCCATCCAGTTATAGAGTAGTCAACTAAAGAGGGTGATTTCAGGGGCATTCAGAGGATCCTTTGTCCTAAAATCTCTTTTTGGTCAAGGTTTAATTGATCAAAGACCATTCCTTTATTTAAATCACTTACTTTTGTAGTGTCCTCCTTTAATATGTAAATAAGTACATAAAAAAGAGAAGTTTTTGGAGGAAAAAAGAAAACTCCTACCACTAATATATTAGCATAAACTAGTTGATCCATGAGATTTCTCTACAAGAATGCAATCTGATATAAGGAGATAAAGGAAAGAATTTTGATTTGAGTGGAATAATACATCAGAGCACCAACTAGGGAGGCCTGAGCAAGGGACTGACTAGCAAAGAGGAGTATTCGCCATAGGTTTTACGTCATATTGATCCTGGCATTAACCCTGAAGGATTGGCACCTTCACAGGGGTGGCAGTAGAAAAAAATAATAGGCCAGAGATTCAGTAACTGTCCTGCACACAGATGCAGACACTTTCAGCGATTCATCCAGAATCCAATTCCAGGCCTCTGCCTCCATGCCTGGTGCCCTTGTCCTGTGCTGCTTCCAGACGGTGAGTGCCTCAGGAGAGAAGGTGCCTACCGTAAGTGAGAAAAAATGATGCCCGAGCAGAGAGCTAAGAGGGCAACAAGGCTAACCCTGGACTACAGTCAACCCCATGCACAATATGCCTTTTTTGACTGTACTTCTGAGAATTCTGTTAGGTAGGTGCCATTACACGCAGGAATTCAGAAGAAAATGAAAATACACTTGTCACGACCTAACTAGGGAGTAGAGCAAAACATACTGGTTTTAAATAAAGAGAAACCTATGCTTAAATCCTGGCACTTTCTTTAGCAGTGTGTCCTCAGGCAAGGAACTTAACTTCTCTGAGTCCTAGTTTTCTCTTCTGTAGAATGGGGATTGTAGACACTACCTACACTTTATAGGTTACTGTGAGGAGTAAGAGGTAATGTATGAAAAAGGCCCAGCACAGTTACTACTACAGAGACACTCCACAGGGAAAACGCCAGTGCTGTTTAATTAAACCTTCCACACATACGAACAGCACGAGCACAGAAGCAGAACTAACACGGAAGGAGTAGTGAGAGTCCTACCTCTGGGTCTTTATTCCACTGTACGACACATTCCCAGCAGCAATGTGCGTGCAGCACGTCCAGCTCAAGGCTACAAGGAAACTGCTTGTAGGCTAAACGCAGTAGGTCTGAAAGTCAGAGGACAGTGACGATGTTATTCTTTCTGTAATAAAAACTCAGCCACATCTTTCCACTCTGGAGTTCATATTTCTCATTATTTGTGTATCACCTGGTACGACTCCTAAGTCCATCTCCACCTCTGACACCTCCAGGAAACCTCTGTTAATACCTTCTTTGGGTTCATCTGGGTTTTCTACATCTCTTTCTTTAGTAGCCAGTTTTAATAGTTCAGGACTGAAGTCCTGTTTAAATATCCACTTGGCTACACTGTCTGCAATGCCACCTGTAGTTGGGAGACAAGAAAGAAAACGAAAATTTATAGCACATACGTGGCAGTGTTTGCCAACGGGAGCCAATACAATGCATAACCCGCATTTCCTTATAAAGAGATCTCAGTGCTACATTCATTTTTGAGCCTGAAGGTGACCCCCAAAAGCCATGAGATTTACAGCAGTGCTACTACCTACCCCTCACCTTGTGAGGGCAAGCAGGGTATTTGCTACTTTGGGGAGTCTTTACCCTCTCAAAAAGTGACAAACATAAATGCATGTGCATATGTGTCTGTATACCACATATTTTCTGTGTCCACAAATCCAAACTGCATCTTACCAGACAGACAGAAATGGATACATCCTTAAAACACTTTCATTTAAATTTTAAGAGAAAACAGATGGATTAGCATGATACTCATGAGTCTAGGCTTCTAAGGGCAACACAGTATTACTTCTAATTACTTTCTAACTTGCTTACATAAAATATTTATGGGCAAAATTTAGCCATATCTAATTAACAACATGATACCATACCACGATTCAACCATCAATGCAGTACAAAAAATTTTAAATGCATGGTGAAAAAGATTCAAGATGTTTGAAGAGTCCTGTTTATTACCTTAAAAATATTATACTTTCTTCTATAATTTACCACAACCTTTTTTCAGTCTTTCCTCCTATCTTAATTCAAATAAAAATGTTACCACAAAAAGAATGCTTTACAGTAAACTTACAGTTATCAGTGAAAATAAATGGGAGCAGTGTGCTGCATGATCTAATTTCTTATGTTTCGTTTCTAAATCATTTGATAATTCTTAATTACAGAATTAAGCCCCTGACTATAGTGCTCGGGTTAATTAAAATGGTGTTTCTACACTTTCACTAGGTGGAACATGGAATGTAGTAAGTTTACAATTAAAAAATGGTCAGAAGTCCTACAAAGAATGAGTTAACTAAATAAAAATCTATAAATTACAGTGTTAAATGCCTAACAGAGCTGCTGAACAGAAGAGTGAGCACCCAAAGATAATTCAAAATGTAAGATGCTTATACTCCTGCAAGATACAATCACAGGAACCCAAATAACTCCAGGACAATAGAAGTGATGCATCAGAAATGAGGAATAAAGTTCTGCTGAGATTAGGAGAAAGAAGAGAGAATTTGTTGTTCCTGAATCATGAGAGGCTTCTTGGAGGAGACAACATTTGAGCTGGATCTTGAAAGATGAATAAAATTAGTCATCCATGAGTGGGAGATGCAGGAAAAGAAAAGAGGACAGGCTCAGGTCCAAAGACGAGAGTCACACACATGCTTCATTTTATCTAAAACCTAGCAAGTAAGCAAGAAAAGAAGCAGAAAAATGAGTTGGACTCCAAGTCAAGGTTCCTGAAGAGCTAGCTTAATATTTTATGCTTTGTTCCAGCAGTCCTAACTTCTTTGTCTCATGACCCCCTTAATTTTTAAAAATTGCTGACAACCCCAAAGAAGTTAGGTTTATGGGTTACATCTGTCAATATTTACAATATTAGAAATTAAAAGTGAGATATTTAAAAATATTCTTTATTAATTCACTTAAAAATAAAAATAATAAACCTATTACATGCTAATATTTTATGAAAATAACTGTATTTCCCAAAGCAAAAAAAGATGTTTACTGACAAAAGTGGTTCTACTTTATACTGTTGTAAATCTATTTAATGTCTGGCTTATATCTGGATGCTCCAATCATCTCTGGCATCCAATCTATTGTGATCTGTTGTTTTGGTTAAGCATACAAGGAAAATCTGGTCTCACACAGACATGTAGGTGGAAAAGGAAGGCTTGTGAGGTCCTCGGACCACTTTTTGAGAACCACTACTCATTTTGTTAGGCAGGAAGAAGTACCTAGGGTTCCTGAGCAGGGAACTGACTGAATCAGACTTAGAGAAAATTAATTAAGAAGTATATAGAGGGTTATTATTATTTTTAAAATCTGAGTATATTTCTCTTTCCCTACTCTTTCAGTCATTTCTGTTTAAAAAATGTGTAACAAAAATGTAGATGCAAATGCTCAAATAAACTTCAGCTTACCTTTTCCTCCTTCTAATAATTTTTTAACAGAAAGCCTTGGAAGTGGCTCAGCCTGCAGTGATGACATTCTGGAGGTTCGAGCATTCCCCTTGCTATGAAGCAGAGTCTGAAGTATGAGACAATCTTCCAGTTGTTTCAGCAGGAGTTTCCAGTATTCAGTGTCAAGAGAAAGGGCCTCCCAGGAATCAGTGAGGGCCTCTGAATCAGCACCCAAAGCTGTTTGGGAAAACTAACAAAAAATGCACTGGTGATTCTCTGGCAAAGATTCTGAATCAATATTAACAGAATGAGCTTTTTACTTGAAGGCTGATGAAGAGTCAGGAAACATCACGAAACAACTCATAGATGCTGTTTCATGAATATTACTACTTGGCTGGATGAAACATGAGGGTCAGGAGTAGACTGGAGACTCAAGGGCAAGAATGGTGAGTTGAAATATTTATAAGGAGCCCTTCAGTAATGACCCCGATTCAATCAGTGTACACCTCAAAAGGCTTTCCGGGCCACCTCTGGCAAGGGCCAGAGCCTTTTCTATCAGTACCAATCAGGATACCGATATAACTTCAGAATATACTTGTCAACTTGAAAAACATATTTTAAATCTCCTCTTTCTCCATCATTATAAACACCTAAAGCTAGCAATATTAAATTTAGCCTATAAACAACTTGAGACAGACAATATTAAATGAATCTGCACAGACCCATTCATGTGTCTCATCCAAATTAATGTAACATCCCTTTAGAAAAAAATTATTTAATCCACCGCAATATAAGGAATATTAGTCTTTTTTTTTTTTTAATATAAATTTGAGTCCTCAAGAGAAGAAGAAACATCACAAAGCAAAAGGTCAGTAGGAAACTTACATTTGAGTCCTTATATGCGAGGGGAAGGGGGTAAAGACAATCCCAGAACTTTGGAACTGGAATACACCTAGGAAATAATACAGTTGAACCCTGACCTCTTTTAGGTGAGGAAACTGAAGCCAGGAGACTCCTTTTAAAGGGACTTACCACAAATCACCAGCTATTGGCAGACAGCCAGTTCTGTGCTCTCCAACTTCAGCACTTTTTCCCTCACACTATGTGGCAACTGCTAAATTCAAGTATGCACGGCATCTGAATAAACAAATTAAGGGCAGCACCCCTCATCCCCCTGTCACCCAAAAAACCCAAACAAATAAGAACCTGCTGAACACATTTTAAATTTTCGATGTTCCATAACACTGAAGACAATATACTCCAGAAAAGGAAAAGCATTCCCTTAGCTGATCAGATGGGTACAGATCAAAGCCATACCTCGGCCAACTTACTTTTTTCTCTGTCATACTGTTCGATATCTGTGCAGCAACAGAATGTCCAACGTGTGCAGATAACAGAGCAGCTCCATTGTTCTCAGACTGTATACAAGCCATGCGCATTTGCTGCCACCAAGGGGACACCGATTGGGAATCCCAGGTCTCATCAATGGCCACTACCAGGATAGGGGGGAAATTAAAAAATAAACTCCCACCTCATCAACTTTTTGTCTAATCTTTCATGTTAAACATAATATTAAAACTAAATGCCCCACTGATGTATTTGTATATTTCTGAATGAATTGGAAAATAAATCTACAATCTATTTTATTCAGAACATTTATATTCCACTTATTTATGATCTGTTAGTCATCTTGTTTCTAAATCAATATTAAGTCCCTATTTGGAATATTTTCATCATTACTGAAAACTACCATCAAATATTTTAATATAATAGATTAATATTTGGATAATCATACAAAAATTATAAAAACTTTCCTTTTCCCAAAGAATATCCAATTTGCCTTACTGAGTTAAGAAAACATGCTGTTTACATCACATTATTTTTTATGATGATACAAAATATAAAAGTAATTTTCATGAATCAAAGCATACATCAAATGCATTAAGAGTTTTCTATCAATACACAAAAGAATATCTATGGTGAAATGTTTTGGATACTATCCTCTCATTTTATTAAGAGAAACCAACCTCCCTCCTTGCTGTTTCTGTGGTATTGCAAACACTAAACTTTGTTTCCAAGAGCAGTACCTGAGGGTCCTGAAAATGCGGAACTACAATGCGCACCAGCATCCTACCTTTCATCCTGCTCAGGAGGGACAGCATTGTATGAAGACAGCAGACAGACTGTGGTTGATCCAAAATTTCTTTTTCCTTAGAAAGCCAGACACTCAGGAGTAGAGACTAAAATCAAATTTAAATCTTTTCAGTCTAAAAAATACTTAACGTGGATAAAATCTCAAACTTTTCTAGACAGCACACATATGCATATACATGATGCGGCCTTTTGGGCTGGAAAATAAGTGATTGCTTGTTATACCATAACAAGGGGCAGTATGAGGGACCTCATCTACCTAAGAGATTCATTATTTTCTGTTGGATACCTAAAATCCACCATTCCATCTCTCCTTTGGGTTAGGCAACACCTTCTAATTCAAACCTCTGTCAAGGAGCATATTACACCTTACGTGTCCTTAAGATGCCTATAAGCCAGCACACTTATTTTTAAGATTTATGAAATCTGTTCACACATAATTCTTAGATAATGAAAAGTTTAATAGCGCAATGTCACATCTGTAAGTACTGGTATCTGTGAAAGGCCTTGATTGCTGACAATACTGCAGCACTTTAATGTGAAAAAAGCTCTAAAATAAAAGGTTGACTGTCACTTTAAACGTATTAGTTCAAACAATTTTCAAAAATTAAGGAGGGCAGGGAGATGAAGGAGAAGTGCATGAAGGAAGTGAACCTGTGAGGACAACTTAGGATCAGGAGCTCTGGTGAGACCGTGACGCGCACATCACCGCACTTGGCCCTAACATGTTCTGCGGTGCGGACATGCCCAGACTTCAGAAGCGAGGAAACAAACTCACCAAGCAGAAGCCAGCAGCACACAGGCAATGAGCTACAGTTATGCTGTGAGCCTAGACTTACCTGATTCTAACATGTGTGTTTTCTTTTCTCTCCCTGTAAAAATTTTCATGTGTATGGGTGTGTAAACACGTACATATAAATTTATAGATGTACATAAGTTTTACACATATGAAATTATACATGAACATACACGTACACACTCTTTAAAGCGAACTTTTCTAGTTCTCCTTTTTCTTGTTTAACTTCCCTTCTAAGTCTCCCCTCATGCTCATAAAATAAGGACAATATTAACGGCAACAAATACTATGGTTATATAAAACTTACTACACGCCAAGGCACTAATGGCTTTATATGTACAGATACACATACAGTATTTTGGCGGGAGGATGAGGGTGTCACTGTCGTACAAAAATAGGATCACATTATACCGTATTCATTCCACTAATGGCTTTATATGTACAGATACACATACAGTATTTTGGCGGGAGGATGAGGGTGTCACTGTTGTACAAAAATAGGATCACATTATACCGTATTCATTCCACCTGCCATCCAACATCCTGTTTAACCCATGAAACTCTGACTGACCTTACCTCATTTATCAAGGGTACTCCTGCCCTCTCTTCTAGACTTCCTCTCAACCTCATACAACACTGCTGCTTATAATCACAAGTCAGGCTAAAAAACTGGTTGCCTATAAGGTTACAAAGACATTTTACATGTAACTGACAATAACTGTTTCAGTTTCATGTGTATGTGCTCTGTAAAGCAAATCAAAAGGCAGCGAGAGCGAGAGTAGAATTTACTTTATCTTTTAGGCTCACTTTTGACATTAGACTCAATTTTAGGTACAAAACGTATGACTAGGGCTTATTGTAAAAGTACGTCAGGTTTCTAAACATATCCACAGGTTTAATCTCTCTCAAATCTTGGTTCATGTCTTAGTCATCGATGAAGTTTCTTAAATTAAGGCAGCCAAAGTAAAACGCCATGCCTTGGACCTCTCTTCATACTATGAACTCTTGTACTTTTCTCTCCAACTAACCACTCCCCTACCGACCATCACCTTTAGCAAATGCTGAAACAACCAAAAAACTTGTTCCACTTCAATCTCCTTCCTTGTCTCTCCCTAAGTCACCTCCTTCCATCTCCTGCCCAACCAGGTAATCTTTGTTTATAACATAGAGTGTGTTTTTCTTGTTTTTTTTTTAATAAACTTTAAAAATTCCAGTTAAACTTCTACCTCCTTCCATCTCCTGCCCAACCAGGTAATCTTTGTTTATAACATAGAGTGTGTTTTTCTTACTTTAAAAATTCCAGTTAAACTTCTATTTGTATGCAGATCAGTATGAAATAGAGGATGGCAAGAGAACACAATGATATAATTTTAGAATTGCTTATAAGCAATAAAAATATTTTTTAAACTCCAGGAAAAATTAAGGCGATGACAGAAAAATAATCAAAGAGAATATAGTTAAATTAAGCTACTGTATAGAAACAGGGACACATACAACAGGAAAAGATAGTATACAAAGGTGACTACCTCCACAACTAGTGAATACACAATAAGATAGACTTTCAAACCACAACAAAGAATGTAAAATAACTCATAATATAAACATCCATATTATGAATTCACATATTATAAATGAGAATTATATTATTTTCTCAAGTAAATATGTCACATATTGACATATTACCAGATGATATCTGAATAACAGATTTTGAATAACAGAAACTTTGAGATAAAATTTAGTTAATTCCTCTGTTCTAAGTCAGGCAATACCTTAACGAATACTAAAATCTGTATCTAAGAATAAAACAGAAAACACCATGGGACCTTAGGAGATGCTTCTAGTGGCTGATAAGCAGTTACCTTTAAGTGACTATCTTTCTATAACATCAATATCCTTAAATTTGAATCCTTCTTCACTCAATGGAATGAATGACAATGGTGGCAGACAGGACACAAGAAAGCTGTCTGGCAGCCTTGCCTTTATAGTTAAAGGAACTTATTTTATTAGTCTTTTGGGTGAGCCTTATTTTCTAGAGTCTTTCCTGAAAACTAAGGTCTGTTTTAAGTTATAAAAATCTATAGCTTGATAAAATTCCACTGCAGTATACCTATAAAGCTTTAAATGTTTTGAGAAACTATCAGCTGTCTTCTGTGAACTACACTAATTTGGCAAAATAGTCCCTAAATCAAATGTAAGTTTTACAGAAAAATCTGTGGGCATCTAGAAATCTTTGTAAATTAAAAAATTTGTACAACCTTCATTACAAGTACCAGTTTCTTCATGAACAAAAATCCAATAAAACTACCATTTAAAATATTTCAAGGGGCAGGCTGGTTAGCTCAGTGGGTTAGAGCATAGTGCTGGTAACACCAAGGTCAACCCTTACCAGCCAAATGCCCAAAAAAAAAAAAAAAAAAAAAAAAAAAAAAAAATTCAGAAAATAGGAACACTTACACTTCCAAATAGTATGTCTATATAATACTAATAATGTATTTTGCTAAAAGACCTACCACATTTTACTCATTTTTATATGCCTAATTCCTAAAAGTCTGTTACTCTTTTAACATAACACAATAATTTATCTATTCTCTTTAAAAAACAATTCAAAATACAGTACCTCAAAAAAATATCATTGGTGTCTATTTTGGCACTGGTACTAACTACTTTGGGAACTAGCAAGATGTAAGCAGAATGCACACTGACTTCATGGTACCCAAAACTGCACCTCACCATTCCAAGGCTGGATGAGTTAGCAATGGCCTGAATATGCTGACTGACATTTCCTCTGATCAATGTGACCACAATGATCGAGGAAAAAAGCTTTTCTTATTGTACAATTCAATTTCTTACTTTAATTCTTGGGCTTTGATTTTTTTTTTTTTTTTAGAGAAGTTCCCCCTTCCCTCCCCATTCATAACCATTAATTACATGCTTTAAGTGAAAATACCTCTCCCTTTTATTCTATACTCCAGTAGAATTTATAAAAATTACATGATTGGGCCGGCCCGGTGGCGCACTGCTACAGTGCACCGCTTGGGAGCGCAGTGGCGCCTCCCACCGAGGGTTCGGATCCCACATACAGACCGGTTCCCGCTCACTGGCTGAGCGAGGTGCAGGCGCAACACCGAGGGTTGCGATCCCGTTGCCGGTCCCGGTCCGGTATGGGCGCGACAATGAGGGTTGCGATCCATTGCCGGCCACGAAAAAAGACAAAAAGGAAAAAAAAAAAAATTACATGATTGCTTAATAGCATTCAGCTGGTGATGTATGCTTTAAAAATGAAACCCTTCCATAAAACATTTGTCTAAGAAAAGCAAAAGAAAAGAGACCAATCCAATAATTTGGAATGTGTGAAATACAGTCTCTGAGAGCTAGATGATTTTTTAAAGTAACATTTTAAAATCATAATCTATTCTATAAATTTAATAGCATGATAAAAATATACTCACAGCCTATGAGTTTATGTGGGGAAATTCCAGATATATATATATATATACAGTGTGTGTGTGTATATATATATATACAGTGTGTATGTATATAGTATAACGTATATATATATATACAGTGTGTGTGTGTATATATATATATACAGTGTGTATGTATATAGTATAACGTATATATATATATATATGCATTATACTATTTTTAAAATATATATACACACAATAAAATTCACTACTTTAAATTGGATAACCAACACTGTAAACAAGATAAAGTACATCTCTACCACCCCAAAATTTCTTTGTGTCTCTTTATAATCAATTTCCAATTCCCATCCTCATTCCCTAGCAAATGCTGATCTTCTTTCTATTACTCTATTTTGCCTATTCTAATATTTTACATAAAATTTTTCTATTAAAAGAGTAACAAATGATATGATAGGTAGTCTTTTGTTTCTGGGTCCTTTCATTTAGCACAATGCTTTTGATATTCACTAATGTTATTCTGTGTACCAATAGTTCGTTCTGTTGTATGGATACACCATAATTTATTTATCCATTTACTGTTAGGTACCATTTGGACTGTTTCCAATTTGGGCTATTATGAAAAAAGCTGCTATGAACATTTCAGTTGTCTATGTAAACATATATTTTCATTCTTCTTGGATAAATAACAAGGAGTGAGATTGCTGAATTTTAGGGTAAATCTATGTTCAACTTTATAAGAAACTTCCAAACTGTCTTCTGAAGTAGTAATATTAGTTTGCATTTCCCTTAGCTGTTTTGAGAGTAGTGATGGCTCCAAATTCTCACCAATACATGGTATGGTCATTCTTTTTAATTTTAGTCATACTAGTGAGGGAGAAGCCACTGGGGATTTATTTGGCATTTCCCTAAAGGATAACGATGTTAAACATTTTTCAGGTGGTTATCTGCCATTTGTGTTTCTATTTTCTGGTGTCTACTGAAATCTTTTGCTCATTTTTTTATTACATTGTTTGTCTTATTGAATTATATGAATTCTTTGTATAATACGGTTGCAATTCATTTACCAGATATATGTTTTGAAAAAGCAGCTTGCCTTTTCAGTTTTTTAACAGTCTTTAAAAAATTAACTTTTGAATTTTGATGATGTACAATTTATTAACACTTAATAAAAATTTTTTTCCCCATAGTACTATTTTTATTTGGAACACAGAATGGCACATTGTAGAGACCAAGTAAATATAGAATTAATGGATAAGGCCTTTTCTCCCCAGTTTTAGTATAGTCCATTCCTGTAAAATGAACTAAAGAATCAAGCATTTTTCCTATTCATACTACCTTTCTGCCACTAAATTTTAGTTTAATAATGGTGATATTGGTATAGGAAACAATGTCTTGGTTTTTTGCTAATTCATTTATTTTTTTAATTAAAATTTTTTTATTAGCGTATTTATTGCTACAAATCATAATTATTTTTTCATGCCCCTTATTCAATCTCTGAACTTTTTATTTTATGGTTCCTGCTTTTTCTGCCCTGAGATATCTTTGCCTAAACCAAAGTTTCTCTTATGCTTTATTCTGTAAGTTTTATAGTTTAAGCTCTTACATTTAGGTTGATGTCCCATTTTCAGTTAATTTCTGTAGATGGTTTGGGTAAGGTTTGAGGTTCATTTTTTTCAAGTGTTTCTTAAACCCCAGATTTAATGCAGACAACAAAAGTTTGTTGATATTAATTAAACACAATGTAGAACAAGAAGTACTCTGCTCTTCTTATTTAAACATTTCAACTTCAAGTGATGGGTAGTATTTATCTCCTTTCTTTTTAATTTATATTTTTAAATAATTAGAGATTCACTGGTGGTACAAAGAAATGCACAGAAAAGTCCTGTGAACCTTCCCACCATTTCCCCCAACATTACACAAGATCAAAACCAGGAAACTGACATTGGTAAAATTCATAGCACTTCTTTATATTTCACCAGTAACACATACACTTGTGTGTGTGTGCGTGTGTGCATACCTCTGTGCAATTTTATTACATGGGTAGTTTTGCATAACCATCACCATGATCAAGACACTCAACCATTACCATCAGCAGAAGATTCCCTGTTAACCCTTCACAGCCATACACTTCTCTTTCCCCTACTCATCCCTAACTCTTGGCAACACTAATCTGTTCTCCATCCCTATAACTGTGCTATTTCACAAATGTTACATAAATGGAATCATGTAGTACGCATCTTTTTAAGATTGGCATTTTCCCACTCTGTTTATTTTCCTTGAGGTTCATCCAAATTGTTGTGTATCTCAATAGTTCATTCCTTTTTATTGCAGATATATTATTCTATGGTAAGAATGTACCAGTTTGTTGTGAAAGGAATTTGTATACGTTTCAGTTTTCAGCTATTGAGAATAAAGCTGCTTGTGAACATTCATGTAAAGCCTATGTATATTTTTAACATACTTCCTGACATATATACACTTCATAGGAGAGGTAGAACAGAATCCATTTTTAAAGGACTTACATGTAAAAAAAAAAAAAAAAAAAAAACCAACAACAACAATACATTAACACAGACAACAAGCTCACAGAGGTAGGATGCCCAAACCCTGCCCAAAGTATAAAATGTGAGTGAAGTGTGAAACAGCGTGTGTGTGTGTGTGTGTGTGTGTGTGTGTGTGTGTGTGTGTACACGTGTAGGGGTGGGTGAGAGGGGAGAACTGCTGGCAATGGGGTAATTTCCCTTGCTCTTTTCAGAAAGGACAAAAAGGTAGTGTTGTTGTTCTTCCATTGGAGGATTCTTCTGTTTTACAAAATGTGAGTGAAGTGTGAAACAGCGTGTGTGTGTGTGTGTGTGTGTGTGTGTGTGTGTGTACATGTGTAGGGGTGGGTGAGAGGGGAGAACTGCTGGCAATGGGGTAATTTCCCTTGCTCTTTTCAGAAAGGACAAAAAGGTAGTGTTGCTGTTCTTCCATTGGAGGATTCTTCTGTTTTACTTTTTTTTTACAGCACAGAGGTTACATCCTAACTATACTCAAAGTTTGGAAACGTTTAATAACAATTCTGTACAGCTTTAAGGGAAGTTTGTTTTGTTCTCTAAATAAGATCTGTTTTAGTTCTACTATTACAACTTTTACTGATGAGCAAAGTCCACTGTAAATGCACGCATACATGTCACATTCTAAATTTATTTTAGGCCAACCACAGAAATAGTCTTACTAAAATTTAAGAAAAAAATATTATTCTATTAAATATGGAATAACATTCTATTACAAATTTCTTTGATTGTTTTTAGGTTTTCATGTACATCCTTTAATATGCTAAAAGACAATGGTTAAAAAAAAGAAAAAGACTGACACTTCTAGATGACTGTAAGGGGAAACAATATCTAGCAATAAACCACCTTACCAACAACAGCTGAGGGCTAAGTCCAGCAGACTCCAAAGTGTGACACATATCCTCAGTGGAGCTTTCTCCATGCAAACACTTCCAAAAAAAGAAACTGCCTAGTAAAACAAAACCAAAGCACACTAAGCAATAACTACTTATCATCTGGATGAACAATATTCCTGAATTGCAATCTGGAATTCCAAAGGAGAAAAACAGCATGAAAAAAGAGGAATTAATGCTTCAATTTACTAATTAAAGCAGAAAACAAATCATTATTATATGTCTAACATTGTATCTGTATCTTTTTTTTTTTTTTTTTCCCCTTTTTGGTGGCTGGCCAGTACTGGGATCCAAACCCTTGACCTGGGTGTTATAACACCACACTATATCTAACTGAGGTAACTGGCTAGCCAGCCCCTCTTCAGTATACTTATTAATACAACTTGTATGAAATAGTGCATATATATCCAGAGTATATTTCATTAACCAAAATATACATTAAATATGTTAGTTAATTTAATTGCAAAACAAACTGAATATCTGAGATGCTGTATACTCCTACCCGTCTTTCTTCTACAAGGAAGATACCAAGAGCTGTTTATTATTTTACTCACCTAACGCCACATATTCCTCTTCACTTATCTTCTTTATGTTGAGCACATCTTTCTCATATTCTAAGTATTCCAGGAATGTTTTTACAGGCAACACTCCATCCTTATCATGAGAAAATCGGACAGTAGTCCTGGTGTTCTCTTGCTTATATTTCTCTAACAATGCCTGGAGCTTAAGCAGTTCTTTTTCATCAAGCCTTAGTAACACAGCCAAGTCCTTAAAAATAAAAAATTTTAAAAAGTTCTGAATAGACCATGTCTGTTTCTATAGATACGTCACACGTGTCAATCCCACTATCTGAACTGAAATTCAAGTCTGTAAGCAAAAGATGATTTTTTTTATCACTGTGATAGCTATAATGTACTCTGCTCAAACTTAACTCTCAAATTACATTTCATGAGTAAGAGTCTATTTAAACAAAGTAATCTCGAAACACTGAAAGTACCATTTAAAAAAGTTTCTTGAGAGCATGCTATACTCTTCTAAAATGTTAGAATTTTAATAAACTCAATATTATGTAATCAAAAAATTTAAAAGTGTGTCAATTGCAACTTCTGTCATTCTCAGGAAACTAAAAAACCTTCCTAAATTAAATGCTTATTTATTAAGCAGCATAAACACTATAAAATAAAAATATGGGAAAATAATTCTCACTGTATCTACATGTAAGTCCTCTACGCAGCTCTCAGAGATATACTTTTCATGACTGAAAAGTCACAGACATCATCTGCTAGCCTTTTAAACTATTTTCAGATACCACATGTGCAGACATATCTCCAGGTACTAGCACCATGTTTCTGAATTAGGGCAAGCGCACACACAAGCACGCACACTCATATAGTCAACGACCACAGATCAGCCACAGCAAGCACAACCTTCTTTCCCATGCCACGTAAATGAAGCCATTTTTTATTTTTAAACTGAAACACAGTTGATTGTACCTATCTGTGGGGTGTAGAGTTGAATATCAATACATGTGTGCAATATGTGATGCTCCAATCAGGATAATTAGTATATTCAACATTATATCCTTAAATAAGAGCAGTTTCATTTATTTGTTTACTTTAGGCTGTTATTTTTAAAAACTAGTAAACTGCAAACTATTAAACACATACCAGTAGTTCAATGTACTGAAATTACATGTGAGCTTATATGTAATATGTCCCACAAACAGCAAAAACGAATTAATTCAAATCTGAATTTCAGTTTTATATGTACAAAATTAGCCATTCAGCCTAGGTGGCTGCATGTTTTTGAAACATCCAAACAAGTCTACAAGAAAATATGGTTTTAATTCTTAAAAAGTGTTTCGAAAATAATAAAAAATAATAATAAAAAAGAGCTATCTGCCAACTGATTTTTAAAATTTTATAAGTCTTTTATCTTTGCACAGTATATTGGATATAACAAGAGGAAATGAATTCTATAAGAGGATATATATTGTGCTATCAAATAGAAATTAATTCTGTAGAAACTAGTAATGATGTATATTTAACTTTCTTCGGCAGGGCATATGAGAGAATTTGGATCTTAGGAGAAAATTAGGCATCAAAGAATCTATGAAATATCTAGGCATTTCTGTAGACATCACTTAATCCACTTGAATCTTCCTATTGCTTAAAATTATTTTACACTATTGCTGAAGTAGAAAGAAAAACAAAAGATCCTAAAAAATGGTTAAATCATTTATAATGGCAATCACAGAATATCATTATGATTGTCAAAATATATAAAATCCATCAAAAATCCCAAAGACAAAAGAGAAGATATTAGAATGTGTGGGTTGTTTACATTACAGAGAGAAAAATTTCTCATTTTTCTGCTTAAAAATGTCTTATTTGTGTATATGTGTACCTAAAATAAAAGGCTTCCACTTTAAACCTCGATAAACTTTCAGATACAGCAGAAAAAAATTTTAAAAAGCATTATCAGTGACTTGACAAATCACTAAAATCATCTTCTGACTTCCCCTTAGTTAAGTGAGGACACGAGGCTCCAAAGCCAGGCAGCCTGCCCAGTGTCACACAGGAATCTGAGGGACAGAGAGAAGGTACTATTTCTCTCTATTCCCTGTTAAGACAAACTTCCTTTCTCTGTATGGAAAGTAAGAATTTTGTACATATTTGTCAGAAGTAAGCAATACTGCACTGTTTACAGATTACAAGGTGCTGTCACTTTTTTATGCTTTATAGAGTAAAAATATAGAACATTTATTACAATTATTTTGAACACTTGTATATAAGGTAGAGTATTTTAAAATATATTTCATTATGTCATACACAAAAGGGAAAGATATGAATTTGCTAACAACACAGAAAAATTGGTTTCTTCTCTTTGGCAAAAACATTTTTTTTGTTTGTTAAAAGAAATTATTGTTTTGCCACATGAGTAAGCTGAGTATATTTTAACTGCAAACCTTGTCCAGAAATAGTTGTTTTATGAGAAGCAACCTTAAAAAAATGAGTTGGAAAAAAAACCCAGAAGATTCTAGACTAGTGAAAATGGATTAACAGTAAAATGTAATATCCTTGTATAAATAATATAAATTTAGCAGCATGGCAAAAAGAGGCAGCAGGGGGCCTAGTAAAGAAAATACACCTTTAAGATTTAAAAAAAAATTTTAATGTTCTACTTCCTTACAACTAATCTAAAAAATTAAAAATAATCAGACTATTTTGTATAATACTAAAATTTTGGATTACTCACATTATCAGAGAATGGTGGGTCTGAATGAAAATCAAGGGAATTTAATTGATTGACAGACTCGTAAAGATGCAGCAATTTCAGTTTATTGGCACAAAACTGTAGCAATCCTTCATCAATAGACTCAAGCTCTAAAAGGCAGAGGGAAAACATGTTAGGAGTATTCAACAAATTCACAGAAAGGCTTTTCTTTCATTAAATTGCTTAATATTACATAATTCCCTGATGTTCTGTTGTATTAAGTATTGGGATACTTAAGCTATACCAAATTTTGAAAGCAAAGATGATTTTTCCATCATGACCAAATGTCTAACTTTTTAAATGAAATAAGGTACTTTAACAGTAGCAGGAAATAAAAGGAGGAGAAAGTGCAGAAATTTCTTCATCTAATACTCATATTTAAAGAAATTACCTGGAAACATCTTTGAAAATGTTCACCCTCACACCATAACCCATATGGTGCCTATTACACTCACACACTGAGGTAGTCAAAAACAAAGCTGCCTGGCTCTTCCCATTATCATGGTGGTCAAAGATAACACAATTCAACCAGAAACTGTGGATTGTGACAAATGTGTACTCAAGAAATCAAAAGTAGAATTCCACTTAATACCCTCCATTCATCATGTTGTATTTTGTTCACGATTAATGCTGGAGAAATACTCTTCATATAATACACTTCTGTATAATAATTTAAATATTTGTATCTAATACAAAACAAATATTTATTCTTTAAAAAGGCAGACCCTGAAAACCCCCAAGAAATGCTATTTGGAATACAGTAACGTGGAATATTGTTCTTATAGCTAAATCAAGTTCTTATAGCTATAATAAAACTAAGCATACAAAAATACTTGAAATTTTTAGGATTCTCATTTATGAGTAGAGCCTGAAACTGATGACTGTACAGAACTCCAACAATGGTGCTACATTTACATCTAGCCCAGAGCAATATAATTTTTCATTTAATAAATTTTGAAATTTTTTAAAGCCTTAAGGGGTGGGGGGTATATTTATAGGTATATTGTGATTATTAAAATAGGTACATCTAAGAAGTTGGGTGCACTAACGAAGTTCACTATTTATCAAAAGTCAGCTTTACACATCTGTTGAAAGAAGTCAATAATGAGATTACATTATCTCTTCCAAATTTAATAAATGGCACTGTGGCATGCAGAAACATGAAATTTCTCACTGAAACGTAATGCCAAGCTGGGGCCACCAGAGTGCAGCAGAAGAGGAAAAGAGACTCATGGAGTACATGAAGGTGGGAGAAGCTGCAATGAGAGGAAGAAGGGACCACTCCAAGTGTTTCCAGCCCTGACCATCTCAAGGCTGGCCCTGGTGAGCACACAGAGCAAGAGCTGGCAAAAGCCACAGCTGTGCCCTTCATATGAAGTTGCTTGGAGGTGGCAGGGGAGAAGAGGGCCTTGGAGGCCCTCAGGCCAGCAAGACCACTAACAGGGTTCCTGTGGACCCACACAGGAGTGAGGAGCCACAACAACTGAAAAAAGGAGCCACTCAGAAGCTGGTGAATCATCGCAAGGGACCAGCACACGACCTGTCCCATGGGAAGTGTTTGGAGCTTGGGTACTGTGGGAAACAGGCCCACCAGGAGAACACGGGGCACAGCAATGACAGCTGATCTGCCCTCCAATCAGCACAGGACCACTCAGAGGAGACTGGTCAGGAGTATAGAACTGCAGGGGGTGCAGTTTGCCAAAAAGACTTGAGCTCCCGAGCCGGAGTAGTGCGGGCGGTTCCCCCCCACCCCATGCCTCACCTCCCTCAGAAACCAGGCCAGTGAAGAAGCCAGCCATGGGCCAGCACCCCGCCACCTCCGCCCCCACCCCCCTTCCCTCTCTCCCTCCCATTGCTCCACAACACTTTAAAATGTAAGTAATAATAAAAAATAATTTTTTTTTTTTTTTTTTTTTTTTTTTTTTTTTTT